CTCATCCTCCTCCAGGTAGCGGTACAGGGGTGGTGTGAGCTCCTCCTTCCTCCCCAGGGGCTGGACATAGGCTGGGGCACCATGGGCAGGTCTGCAGGTCAGGGCTTCTTCGTAGGTGGGTATGGTGCTGGCATCCCAGGTACTGCAAAGGAAGAAGAAACCCAGCAGCACGCCCCGTCAACCAGAGCCATCCCAGCAACACACAGAGCAACCCAGAGCACCACAGCACCGCTGGCTGGAGTATCCCTGAGCATGAAGGACACGTGTGAGCTGGGGAAGGGCAAGTTTTGCATGCTCAGGCTCCAGGAAAGACCATGTCAGCTGCTTCCAAGCACCAGGAGGGTAGGGAGCCATGACAGAGGAAGAGCACCACCCATCAGAGCTTGCAGCAAGGCAATGTCATCCAGTTCCCACTGAGTTTATTAACCCCTCACCCAAGAAGAGGAGGGGCAGCCTGGCAAGGCTCATGCCCAGATATTCAGACAGGCACCAAAACCCCTAGAGAACCAGGAATATGTCTCCCATTCCAGCTGCATTTTTGTGAGTTTCTATTCCTAAGAGTTTCTTTTAGTGCTGCTTTTCCCCAAAGCCCGATTTATGGTGGAGCCAAGATCTTTGCTGTGACCCCATAACACAGCCTCGAAGGGCTGCCACCTCCAGCGTCAAGGGCTACAGCTGCAAGTGTGAATGACAGCAAAGCTGCAGAGGTGCTCGCTCTTGAGACATCTGCCCCCCATTCTGCACCGCATTGCTTCCTGCAGGCAGGAGAGCATCCTCATCATCTGCCTAACCCCAAATTCACCCCCTGAAGCAGAGGCTGCCGGCAGTCGATGGGTGGTTTGACATGAGCAGTCAGGCAAGAGCCAGGTGTCCTGCTTCGATGCAGTTGTGACCCACGCTCGTGCCCTCCAGAGCCCTCCACACACCCAGACAAGCCGCGTGCCACTTCCAGCAGCGCTTTGCTGAGCAAACACAGCTTGTGTATAGGGAAAACCTCCACTCAACCTTTGCCCACTCAGCACCCTAAGGTTTGCAGCCTCAAAGATGGGGCAGCTTTGAAAGGAACCTGCCGTCCTCCTGCTTTCACAGATGAAAACTCAGCGCGGTGTGCTCGGGGAGGCCACGGGCATCAGAAGGGCATGGCTGGTCCAAAGGATAAGCTGAGATGCTCCGCAGGGATGCCTCCTTCCCGAACTTGGCAACCCCCTGTCCCGGATCCCAGGCATCCACACCATCACTTTTGCCAAACAGCCTCAGCTTGCAATGGGATGCTGCCTTGGAAATGTGGAGAGGGGGATTTCTCCCAGCACAGGATGCTTTGCTGCAGGGATGCCAGCACAGACGGGGCTGGAGGAGCTGCTGCAATGCTGGGGCACTGTCCTCCTGCCCGGCGTGGGAGCGGGGAAGGGGACATTCCCCACAGGGGACACAGTAAAGACCTCCAAGGGAGAAGGAACAACACCGCCCCCCAGACTACCCAGACCGGCTCACAATCTCACGCCCAGATATTCAGACAGGCACCGAAATCCCTGGAGAACCAGGAACGTGCCTCCCGCTCCAACTGCATTTTTATGGGTTTATGTTCTTAAGAGCTTCTTTTAGTGCTGCTTTTTCCCCAGAGCCCGATTTATGCTGGAGCCAAGATCTTTGCTGTGACCCCATAAAACAGCACTGGGGAAGGGCTGGCTGGCTCGGCTTCCACAGCAGTCTCCAGGAAAAAAACTCCTTTTGATCAAAAAATCCTTAAACCAAGAAGTGGGAATAGATCTCAGGCTCACACAGGAAGAGTCTGAGGACCTGACAAGCAGCAGTGGTGCTCAAGGCAGGACAAGGGCTCTTTCCACACCCCAAAATGGGCTTTGTGGAAGGACCTTCTGCCTACGCTCCTGTCTTAATGTTAATCCAAGTCTTATTTTTCTTTTGTCATTTTTTCTTTTAACTCCCTTTTAACACAGATTTTGCTTCCACTGAAGATGGCACAAACCCCCTCATCCTCACAGAGCCCCGCAGATCTGAGGAACCAGGAAAGGCTTCAGCAGCTGGAGGCCTGGATGACCCCCCCCCATCACCACCCCCAAACCCCGGCGCTCTGCCAGAAACCCAATGCGGCCTTCTGCTCGGTGGCTCTGCTAAGGAGATGTCTGCCTCGGCCAGTGATGGCCCCGCAGGGCAAGGAGCGCTGTCTGCAGCTGAGCCAGGGAGGATGCGGAGGGTGCCTGTGGGGTGGGGGGGCAGCTTGGGTGGAGGTTGACACTAATAAGGAGGAACATCTGCTCAGGGAGCAGGAGGAGAGCACAGAACAGGGTCTGAGCAGCGGCCGGCAGCGCAGTGACGTTACTGCTCATCTGAGCTCACCAGCGAGCAGGGCTGAGAGCAGGCTTAGCTACACCGCCGTGCTGGGACACTCAAACCCACCTGTGACCTCTTCCCACTCAAGGACTGCACAGGGATGTGGCACCCACCTGCGGTTCCACTTCTCCGGAGGCTCCGCGGTGAAGTACTGCAGGTCCCTGGGGAAATGGTACTGGTACCTGCGGGAGACCACCCTGGCGTTGGCTTTCACAGACCAGAGGAGCCCGAAGAGGAGGAGGATGCCGCCGATTCCGCAGCAGAAGAAGCTGACGGAGCGGAGCAGGGCACTGGAGGAGGAGCTGGACACAGCCTCGGCTTCCCGGGGAGGCAGGAGGTGAGCCCCGCTGCTGGCCGAGGTGCCCACCTCCCCATCACTCCACCAAGCGAAGCACAGCGTCCCCGTCACCAGCAGCACGGCCCCGGTGATGGTCATGCCATAGCGGAATGAGGCAGCTGCCATCCTTTGGAAGGAGGTTTTAGGAGGGGAGAAGAGTGAGATAAGGCATGAGAGAGCCCACGTCCTGCAAGACAAGAAAGGGACCGGGTCTGAGCAGGGCAAGGTCATGGAAAACCTGTCAGAGGAGAAAACTACTGAGCCAGGACCTCTCTATGAGTTTCACACCTCTAGCTACTTATTGTCGAGCAACAGAAGGGGCATTTCACAGAATCACAGGATGTTAA